ATGCTTCGAGTTCCAAGCTGAATTTATGGTGTATCATTAGAGATTTTAACCGAGTAATCCCATAATACACAATTTTTGAACCTCCAAAATAGTAATTACCTGCATGATAGCCACCAGTTTCAGTTATACAATTCCCTGCTGAGGCTTGAGGAGAACTCCCTTCTAAAAGCTACGCGGTAGATTGGGGATAGCCTCTAAATGGAGGAGTTTCATGTCTAAACCTCGTACCAGGCCTGGCCTTTAATGGAGTAAATTCTAATTAGGGGCACTCCTGTATAAAAGTAATTCTGCAAAAATTTATGCTTGTGTATGTTTTGTGTTCTATGTTCATATGTTTATTATTAGTTTACGTGTTTTCTAAGAGAATATTACTGAAGGTGATGTTCAATTGCTTGCAGTGCTTGAATAGCTATGGGAATGAAATTAGCAAGTGTCAGTTTTATATGGACATGCTAGCAGAGTGCAAAAGGAACTCTGGAGCCACATTGCGTGCATAAACATGCTTCACTAACTTTGCCCAGTAATGGAGTCATGAATAATATATTTTTTCTGACACTCAAAAACTGGCATGAAACCAGTATGAATTTGTTGCTACATTGCTAGTTTGTTTAGATAAAAAATCGGTTTGGTCCAAAATCCCCTGGAATATAATGTTGATGTTGATCTAGTGGCGACTGAGTCAATTTGTTTAAATTACGTGTTGAAGATGCCTTGAACACCTCATAGCACCAGTTTTACGGTTGCCAACAACTCTAAGAAATTTGAGTAACGAATGCTAGAAAATTGATGACCTTAAACTTGGGATTTTCTCTTCGTGGGTTAGTAAAATTACCGCATCTAACATCAGAGAGGCGTCACATTAGAACGGGGTATTTCTCCTGTCCATTCAGTAGATCTTCGGTTGACTTTAACCAGCTCCATCAGTTTATGTGCAATTTTTTCATGGTATTCGGGCCTAGAGTTTAGTGAGGTAATTTACCATGTTTGTGACAAAAAAGAATAATGAGTAAATTTTCACATTAATGTTTAAAAATATTATTCATTTTAATTGTTTTTAATAAAATGATAATATTAAAATAAAAATAATTAAAATAAATAATCTTTTGCAAAGTCAAAACTAATAAAATATTAAAATATTTTTAAAATTATTTTTAATTTATAATCTCGAATTTTTCTCTCTCTTTATTTGAGTTGAATACGACTATTATTGATAGTAAATTAATTTTGAGTATTTAATACAATTTTATTTATTAAAATTTAAATTCAAAACTATAGTATTATTGTATTAATTTATATGTTAATTTTATATTTGATTGAAATTTACGTATTATTTAAGAATTAAACAGTACCAAAAATCCAAAAAAAAAGGTATGCAGTATTGGGGAAAATAAAAAAAAAAGAATGAAAGTAATTCATCTGATAAGTAATGTGACGAAGAAAAACAAAATAAAAAGTATGATGTGTGTAAAATTTGAAATTTTAAAAATTGAAATTAATAGAATTATATATATAATTATTTTCTAGAGTAGGGTGGCATTGCCTATCTATTTCAATGAAAGGAGCTATCTTATTTAGGAATGACAATGGGTAGGGTACTATAGTACCCATTTCCATATTTGCATTTTAAAAAAATATTCGTATTCAACTCTATATCCGCGTGGGTATGAATATTAATTCATATATATTAATCTTTATACTTGTACTCTCTGAGTACCCGCATACTTATCTTATATCCATTACTCGCACCTATTTAAGAAAAAAAATTTATAAAGAAAAATATATTTATTTAACTTTATATAAGTAGTATAATAATACAAAAATTTAATAAGTAGTTGCTGAATAAGGTACAAATATAGATAATAAATAAATATTTAAAGATCACAAGTACTAAATATATTTTAATACAATAATTTTCTAAACTAAAATTCTTAAAAATAATAAGCGAAATTAAACACACAAGTTATTTGTTTGTGATGATCCTATCTTGTATGAGATCCAATCGAATGGCAACAATAAAGTAACAATAAGATAGATTTGCATAATTAGTGACCCTTCATGTGAGATCACTTGGTGACCTTTTATGGCTATATTGACAACTAACTCTGAATAACGTTTCATAATTGCTAGATTTTAATGAGGCAGACATTGAGAATGAAATTAGGACAATGAAATTCAAGTATCAAATGACAACAAAAAGTGAATACATAAAATATTTTTTTTTAACTTTTAAAACTGAAATTGTAAAAAAATAACAGATTTAATTAAAATAATATATATATATATATATATATATATATATTAATACAAGTATTTTTAATTCATGTACTATACGAAAATATTTTGTTAAAAATACAAATTTTTGAAAAGTTATTTTAATGAATTAAATATTTATAATGTATATAAATTTTAGAAGAAAAAATTTAAATAAAAGATACGTAGTCACAATAAAATTTTATAATAAAGCAATATACATGTATATAAAAAAAATTTATCTGAAGAAAAAAATTAACAAATAAGAATTAACAATATTTTTTTTATATTTTATATCTTTTCAAACACTTTCTTGGTAAATTAAATGGTAAAAATAATATTATTTAGATTCAATGCACATGATATATAGGAAAATATTATTTTAAATTAAAATATAAAAAATAAAATTAAAATATTATTAATAAATAATAAGCCTACGATAATAATAAGTGATTGTAAAATTTATAAAATATTTACAATATATTTATTATTTATCATTGACTTTATGATTTAAATATCAATATGATTTTATTAACAAAAATATTTGTGTGAAAAATATTTTATATGTGTGTCATATATAAATAATATTTTTTTAAAAAGTCAATCTCATATCAATTGTGTAATAATTAAATTATATTAGCCTAATTAAACAATATAAAGTAGTAAATAAATTATTTTATTAAAAATATACAACAAAATATATTTTTTAGTTTACTTTATTATTAAATATATTTTTATATTAATCTAATATAACTTTACATAAATAGTATATATATATATATATATGCGGGTATGAGCCGAGAGTGAATATTTAGATACTCATACCTGCAACTATGCCCATTAAAATTTATGAGTATTTACCTATACCCATACCCATACCCGTACCCATGTAATAGATAAATACCTTACCCGTTGTAGGTAAATTTTACAAGTGCTTATTGAGTCCTTTGCCAATTGTCATCCTTACTTGTCCATAGATCCAAAATTTAGTATATTTACTAATAATTAAATCTTAAAACTTAGAGTACTCACGCTCTAGCTTTAGAGTTTTGTCTAATCCAAACAATATTTGTAGTTCTTTGTATATGATTATCATTTTTGTGTATTTATTATCAATTTTTATTTATTTTTTTAAAAATATCTTTATTATAAGTTTGATTAAAAAATGTAAAAGAATATTGTAGATAAAGAGTGCCAAGTCAACAGGCATACTTTACCTTGAAACATTAATTTTCTTAAAACCCTGCTTTCTTTTTCCTCTCTACTGCCACGTAGTGATTTGTTAGTGCTTGTTTTGCCTTTAGTTTTGGTTGGTTTGTTTTGTAGACTCAATACACATTTTAATATAAAATTTTTCATTAAAAACCATAAGTATCCTTTATAGAATATTATATTACTTAAATTTTAAACGTTTACAGCACCATAAAATTAACTCTCTAATATATATTTTTTTTCACAAACAAAATTTGAATCAAGATCCGAAATTAGTGTAAACGCACTTTAATTAAATTCAATAATCAACAGTTGAAAAATAACTATACGCACTTTTAAACCAAAGGCAATGTCTTTTGTGGTCTTCTATTTGCATAATATGTTTGTCTTGCAACTATTTCTTTTCCTTCTTATATCGTTCTGTGCGAATTAAGCGAGCATAGGTAATCAATCTTATTCGATGGTTCTCTTTACTTTATATTCGTCGTTGTCATCTTTCTTTGGAGGATTGTTTTTCATTCACACATTTGCATGGAGAATTCGATGATGGATATATCTTGTGTGTAAAATTTAATATTTCTGGCGGACATTTTAAGTGCTTTCACCGTATCCACAATATTAATTAAAGTCATTTCTTTAATTGAAGTGCTTTTGACAAGCACAAGTCTATTGGCTTAACTAATGACTCGAGATGTATTAAAATAATCATATAGTCCGCAATGGATTTTTGTTGAAATTATCCAATGTATTGCTTTGATTGGTTATACCTATAAACAATGTCCTCACGCAAAAAGTGTTTAATATTAACTTACAAATATCACGTATACTCCACCATTTATAGACCACCCATATATTAATATATAAGTGTGCACGTAGTTGTCAAGTATACACATTGTTGTCGTCTTTTCAACTTGGTTATGTAAGTTAATATATATATATATATATATATGTCAAGATCTTCAAGAAGTTTCGACCTAATGGTGTGACAACTGAAAAAAAAATTGAAGTATATAAAATAGAATTTTATATCTAAACCCTCTTTGACATCTAAAAGAAGGGAAATCACCTCTATCTTAGAGTCTTATTGTCAGAATAACAGATTGACTAAGGGTTTTAATAGAAGTTTGACGGTTAAGTTGTGATTAAAGTAAAATATGAAGACGAGTAATTCAAGTTAAGATTTTAAATTCTTGAGAATGAAAAACAGAAAAAGGAAAAAAGAAAACTGAGAGTTATGAGGCAATGGAATGTTAATGATAAACATTGTGCTTGTGGGGTATACATGTAACACATACTAAAATGATCCTTATCACAAGGCAAGTTTGATTATTATACCATACCTCTTGTATACAATACATGTGACATGCACACTTTCTTGCTTTTAGACCATAAATTAAGGCTAAATGTGACTTGTGAAATTCATTAATTAATGTCTCTTTCCTAGCTGTGCGAGTGGAATACAACAAAAACCAAAAAACTACTTGTGGGCTTATTTAGTAGTAACAAAAGAGTGTCGGTGGTTTTGGCATTTTTCGTTAATAACTTGGAAATCAGAAGTAATAATTTATGCAAAAGTATTATCAAGAAAATTAGAAGTTGATAATAAAAGTAGAATAACAATGGCATTGTTAGATAATTCCAGTGGAAAAATGACACATTGACTTCACTTATCATCGTTCTTGTCTAGTGGATGTCAAAGTGGCATAACCTGTATTGGCCCACATACAACCATTGATCTTTCACATTGTTTAGAAGATCTCACTTCTAATTTATGATTGTCACAATCGACCCTTTAGAAAGCTGATGCACAATCTTTTCAATGTCTCTTTATCTGGCTCCCGCAATGCTGCCTTAGTCTTTGCATCCATAGCAAAAGTTTCCTGAAATTCCAAAAAATCCATAATGAGTTAATCACTAGGACCATTACCATTTCATTGAACAAGCTTATTAAATAGAAGATGGAGCATGTAAATAGTCATATACCAGGACCAAATTGCGTTGAATAAGACGGTCAATAAAGTGCAAAAGGATGTCATAGGTGAATTCAGGGTGGCCTTGGATGCCCATTATGTGATCTCCATAGCTAAACATCTCAATTCCAGTCTTTTCAGACCAAGCAATCACCTCTGCTTTTGCTGGCAGCTCCAAGATCTAATTTCATATATACAATTGAACATATAATCACTTTAATACTATCATGAAATTAAAATTAAAAAAAAAAAATTGGGGCTATGAGTATTTTCAGAAAGAAAACATTTTTTGAATGATTGTGAAGGATGTATATATTTTAATATTATACAGACACACCTCATCCCGGTGGCATTTGAATATGGAAAGCTTTGATGGAAGTGAATAAGCCAACGGTGCAGATGATGACACGTTTATGGTTCTGACTCCGATGTCCCAACCATTGGGAGAGCGACTCACCATGCCTCCCAATGCACGCCCAAGTATCTAATTAAGTAAACAAATTCACACGTTGGTCTTGTTCTTGTTTTGTTACCAAACACAACAGTGTCATGAGTGCCATAAAACAAAGAATAATGTTATTTCAACATTGGTTTAGGTATCATACAGATAAAGAAAACTTATGCTAAAATTTTATATAGAATATTTGGTATAAATAGGATTAAAATAACATTACTCTAAAGCAAAATACATATTTATTACAGTCAAATATGACATTAAAAGAAAAAGAAAATTAATGGAGAGTTCAAAACACACCAGTCATGAAATACTATAGTCACAGCATAAGCTTTAAATGAAGCGCTTGCGAAATCCAACACGTTACGAAGATTTTGATGTTACAAAAAGATTGTGATTGTAACTGCGAAACATTAATCTATGAACCAACAAATTATAGAATCCTATCTCTATGTCGGGTTTTTATCTGTTTGTGTTTAGTTATCTATTTTACTAATAACTAAATTCTTTTAAATAAGAAGTATAGTAAATAAGTCTCATATGGGATATAAATAGAAAAAAATTAAATAATATAAATGTGACAAAAACTCATAATTTAAGGTTTTATAACCTTCCCAGGAAAATAAATAGGAGAACTCGCCATAGCTAGAAGCTGAAATGATGGAGCAAATATCGATCCACCAGGATGTTAAGTTGATGAGCACCCAACACAAGCATATGCCAAAGACAATTAAACCAATTTTCTTTCTTTTAAAATAATAATAATAATAATAAATTATTCATCTTTGTAAAGATCTTATTCATTAAAATTTTGAAGGTGCGTTACTACAAAAAATTTAATTTTTAATAATTATATTTTAGTAACGAATATAAAATTTGTTAGTAACAATTGATTATTTATAATAAGTTTTTTTATATTGTCACTAGTGTTATTAATAATAATAACTTAATTAAAAATTACCTTTATTTTTTATTTTTATTTTAAGTTCATTACTAATGTATATAAAATTAATAATTTTATTAATAAAATTTTAATTTAGTTATATTTTTAGTCTTTATATTTTTATATGTGTTTCAATTTAATGTTTTAATATTAATGATTAATATATAAGTCTCTTTAATTTTTAAAATTTTTAAATTAAGTTTTGTATCTTAAAATTTCATTCAATAATTAAAAGAAAGTACAATAAAATATGATATTTTATTAATTAATTTATATAAACAAGAAAAGAAAAAAATATAAAAAATATGATAAAAATATTAATTTTAAAGTAAACTTAATTTAAACCTTTAAAAAAATAAAAAAAAATTGAAGATAAATAATTAAAATATACAGGTATAAAATCACATTGCATTAAAATAAAACAACAAAAAATAAAATTAATAAATCTAAATTTATTTAAAAGTGTAAATTTGATTTTTTTATTTATTTAATAAGCCAAGTCACCAATAGTGATATTAATAGTGACAAATTATTTCTTGTTAAAAATTTAATGTATCTTTATTTATAATAAAATATGAAAATAAATTTTTATATACTATAATAATAAAATATAATTTTTTATTATATTAATTATATAAAAATCACTTTATTTTTTTATTAATTTAATATTAAAAAATTTCAAAAAAAAAGATTATTTTTAGTGACTAGTCACACACGTGTGTATTAACTATGTTACACGTGATTATTTTTTTTTTACATCAAATTTTCTTTTTAATTTCATTAATTTATAATTTACTTAAAATTTTTTTTTATCTCTTTTACAATAGTTTTTTCAGTATTATAATGTAAATCATTATAATTGATTGATTTGTATCTATTCATGTTATTTTTATTTTTAATTTTTTTATTTGCAGGATCAAAATCTATGAAAGTATTTTTTATTGTATTTTAATTGTTTAATTTAATATTAGTTTTTTTATTTTAGAATTTTAATAAGTTAATGATATACTTTGATTTTATTTATAATTTTAACGTATAAACTTTTATTAGATATTTATCATATTTAAATTTATCATTCGAGTATGTATTTATCATTTATTATTTATGATTTTAATTTATATTTATTTATTTAAAAATATAATTTTTATAATAAAATCACTTTGATATAACAACAACATTAATTTTTAAGAATCATAATTAAAATTAATAATAATATAAATTTGAATAATAAGATATAAATAAGTAATTTAAAGTAATTATTAATTAAATATTAATTTTTTAAAAAAAAATTGTTATAAAATATTATTTAAAATAATTTTTAATAATGATAAATAAATTAGTTATTACTTTTAAAATAATAGTGACTGATAATTATCTTAAATGTTATGTATATCAATAATAAATTATGTTATTAATTATTGTATATATTAATAACATTTATTTTTGTCATAATAAATATTTTATTTTAATAATTATATAATATCGTCACATTATTATTAATTATTAATAACGATAAATAATGAATTTAAATATTATTATAAAATTACTTTAACACAAATTTTAAAGATTTTAATGAGAAATACTATCACTGTATATATGATTTCTTATAATGCATCTCATAAAAAATAGAAAGAGTAATTGAATTTAAAATTAAGTGCCTACTTATCTTAAATATATTAGACTTAAGGTCATATATTATATACTTTTTTTAATTTGTTACTATAAACTTTGTTTATCTTAACACTAACTTTTTCCTCCGAACAAGTTGTTAGGACCAAGTCGAAAAGGAAACTTTCATGTAACATACAATTAATTCAGGAAACAAGAATCTTAATTAGTGGTGCCCAAGTCCAATTGTTGATTCGAGCATGTGAAAAATGAAGACAAGGGACCATTGCAGAATGTAATGGACTGAAACAAGAGTAATCATGGTTTAACCAATGCACAAATCCAAGGTAATGTAATACAAATCCAAATTTGATTCTAAAACTTCTACTTCTGATAGGACCACAAAAACCCTCCAACATCTATGGTTCAGACAGAGGAGATAAATTTAAAATCTAAAATTTGTTTTCTTCCGAATCTTACTGTAACGAGTGGACCAGATTACGTTCATCAACAATGACTTCTCTCCTCTTTCTGAATTAATACTCCAACTCCAATTATTTGTTATTTTAAGAAAACATGAAAACACGATTATTGTTATTTTACTTTGTCTTTGTCTCTATCTTCACTGGTTGAAATATAAAAAAGAAAACAGTAACAATAAAGATAATTTAGTTAAATATACATACACGTTTTTTATACTTGGTTGTTTCTTTAAAAGAATATTCTTTCGTAATTTCCTTAATATACAAATATCTTGAAAGGAGTATCTGCCAGCTCAAAAGAGGAGAGAAGAAAATTCGGGTATTAAAATGTGTCCAAATCATCAACCTTTTTTTATAGATAACTTTTTTTATGATAAATGTTAAGACATTATAGAAAAATTATTTAATTAAAAATAACTCTTTTTTTTTCTATAAAGGTCTAATGTTTACCTTGATGTTTAGAAGATAGATGAAGAGTGAGAGGATGAAAAAAATTAAATTTAAATTAAAAAATAAAAAGATTGAATTTTTGTTTGTAAAAGTCTTTTTTCCTTAACTTTTTTTCATCAATAGTATTCTTTTTATTTCTTTTCTTCCAAACTAAAAGGAGCGTTAACGTAGTAACAAATTAAAATTATAAAACAAGATAAACAAATACTGAAACAACTAGACTAACTTTTGATGAAAATGTAAAGGGGGAGTGACAGTGAAGTATGTGATTAAGATTATCTGATGGATTACCTGGTGGCCAAAGCAAATGCCAAGGATGGTTTTGTGCATTGTGTCCAATTTGTTGACAAGAGCAAGGAGCTGATGGATCCAAGGGTCATTGGCATGGGCATCATAGCAGCTTCCAGTGATTACAAAGCCATCATAGAGAGGCAAATCAGCATCTGAAGGGAAATCACTTTGCACCACTCTATACAGATCCCACTCCTCTCCTTCCTCTCCCAACACTCTCCCAAATATCCCATAACACCCTCCATGTTTCTTCTTCAAATACTCTGAATCCTCTCCACACATTAACAACGCGTACCTCTTTCCACTACCCATCACACCCTTTCTCTCTTCACACCACCCTATATATTATATTATATTATAGTTATGTCTGTGTGTGTGAGAGAGAGAAAGGAAAGAGGAGCTCTGCCTTTGTTTTACCTGTGGGGAGTAACACAAGTTTGAGCACTGAATATGGAACTTTGAGGGGTCCTTTTTAAAGGGTTGGGGTAATAAAAAAACCCACGTTTGGCCCTTTTTATTACCACACTGCCCTCTACCCTTAATTATTGAGGGCGCTACCAATAACTTATAACCACGGTCCATCCCCTCGTTTCACCACTCTATTTTTCAACTTTGCATCCCATTATTAAGTAAATTATGTACGAAAATTGAATGATGATAAAATATAATATTAATACGAATTTTATTTTATTTAAATAATCATATCAAATCAAATTTAAATGCTTCTATCTTAACACTGATTAAAATCAAAATGAGTACATAAATTAGTTACATATTAAATTATTGATTAAAATTCTAAATGTTGCTGCAATAGATTACAAAAAATTTCACTGTAAGAAAAAAAAATACTTCCTTGTGAATTTATATTGAATTAGGATATTTTAGCTTAACTTAATCCAAGTTTTCTAAGGGACACAACTCATTTTTCAACTTTGATTAATCCAAATGCACAATTTCTGATTTTTCATGCGAGATTAGATATATGTATTAAAAAACTAGTAATAATGATCATGGTATAAAATATATTCTAGATGTCTATAAAAATTTATTTATAGGATAAGATCATAATGACCTTTATGAGATGTTAAAATATTATGACATTTTCAACTATTAATAATTTAATTGTTAGACTATTTAACATAATTGTTGTAACTATTTATCGTATACCTCTTTATTTATATTTCGTTGATTATGTACACAATTGTCATTGTTCATGCATAACACGTGAATTAGTGAATTTTTAATAGTTAGTGCTGTCGTGTGTAACTATTTTTAATGGCAAGAAAATATGATTAAAGACTATTCAATATAATAGGTATATTTTGTTAGATTTTATTTTTAAACATTGCAATGCAATTATATCATCACATATTAATTGAGAGTGTATAGTGTGGCCTTTCACAATCTTAGTTTGTATATTCACAATTGATATATTAGTTAATATTTATCTTTAATGAATTATACATTTATCTTATAACTGTAAATATTTGTATTTTAAAAATTTAATCTAACGAAATATTTGTCAATAATATCATAAAAAAGAGTTCTAACGCCTGTCAATAAAACATTTATTTAACAATGAAAATATATTATTTATTATAATTTTGCTTATTTTTATTTGATGTTTAAAATTTTACACAATAGTTATAAATATAATAATATTAAAGTTCGTAAAAAAAAAAGCGGTATTTAAATATAAAAGGAGTTTTACATTAACAAGAAGGTAATAAATTTAACAAAGTATAAAAAAATAAGATGAATAATTTTTAAATATTTTTAATTTATTTATTTATTTACTTTTTATTATTCAATGAAGTTTACAACCTAAAGAAAGAAGCTAAACTAACTCTAAGGCCTAAGATAGCCAACTCTTGACATATCTTGTCTAAGATGATAACCTAACGAAGGGAGAGCATTATTTAACAAAATAAATTAAAAGGCTCTTATGAGCCATGTGAGGTAGCAAATTAGTAGAATAGTTAACTTCATGAAAAATAAAATATGATTATAATGAACAACTTCTATATCTTACAATAATCATTTGATAGAAACAACCAAAAAGGGGACAATTATTATAATTTTAGTTATTTAAAGTAATTTGGATAGCTTTCTAAAATGACATTTGAAAAATCCTTAATCTTAAACAATTGCAAATTAAGAAAAACAGTTAACAGTTCTATATCTAGAGGAGAGTAATAACTCACTTTACTCATGAAGTCAGTTATAACAACACCACAGCACCATGGACAATGTAATGCCCCAGATTTTTTAATAATATTTTGATATATTAATATAAGTATATCTGTGAATTTTCATGTGTTGTGTTTGATATATATATGTGATCATGTGGACTTATATAAATATGTGAATAGGAATATGAGCATATGTGTTGGTTTGTGGTTAAACTGAAATTATTGAATATGACTGGACTAGATTAAAAATAGGCTGAGTGTGTACTACAGGGTGTTCTCGTCGTAGCGAGATGATTCTCGCTATAGTGAGAAGACCCTAGGCATAGAACATGGATCTGTGGCGTTCTTGCTGTAGCGAGAATGTCCTGGGAGAATGAGGTGATTTTGTTGTGTTCTCGCTATAGCGAGAAGGCAACAGAGAGGGGTAGCGAGATTCTGCAGAAATCAGAGTGCAATTTTCTCTGAGATTTTTGCTGTAACGAGAGGGCATGTCACTACAGCGAGAATATCTTGCTGTAGCGAGAGTGTCGCGACCAGAAGGGTTTAGGGTTTGAAGAATTCATTTCTCATTTCTCTCTTTAAAATCTCTTCAATTTCCTCAACTAAAAATCCTATTTCACCGATTAAATTGCCTTCAAAGCTGTTTAGAAGCTACATTGAAGGTTGGAATCAAGTTTGAGGCATTTACATGTAAGTTTTAATGGTTAGAGTTTCAGTTTCTCGTCCTCATTCTCTGTTTTGTCGGATTTTCTTGGTTCTCAAAGGATTCTTCCATATATTTAGGATGAAACTCGTGTGTGGAGCACGTTCCTTGTTGATTTCGTGTGTGGGTCTTCATTTCGAGGTAAGGGGGACTCTACCCTATCTCTTGTGTCTTTAAATTTGTTATTTTGCTATGTATTATAGTGTGGATGGTTTGGAATGTGAGTGTTTTAATGGAACTGATTGATTGTAGTGAGATTGTAGTGGAAAGATTGTGTACAATATAGTGTAATGGATGTTGAATAGTGTGTCTAATAGAAATTATGCAGTTGGCTACAATGTAGTTGATATTGAATAATGTCTGTATTCAGAATGATTTGTTTGTACTTGAAATTTTGATAAAAGTGCTGTGCATTTGAATGTAACGCGAATGAATGAAGGCATGCGTGTCGTGTGTGAACATGAATTCTATTTGTGATTGAGAATGTGGTTGTAAATGTGTGTGAATGGCATGTTATATGCGATTGTGGATATGTTAGAAGCTATGAATGGTTCAGTAATATACTGGGGTGTGAAAGATGGGGCGGTAGGAATACCTTGGGGAAGAGAGGGTGGTGATGACACCAACAGTGAGCGTGGGTACACCACAGGCCACATACTCTCCTCTTGACTTAGCCTCTGACTAACACCTTTGTTGAGGGGCTCGGACCGCACACATTGTATCTGTAAGGTGGGGCTAATCAGCGACCATTCATGGTGTGAAACTGTGATCGCAGTGCCACAGTGAGTATGGCTACGTGCAGTAAACGCACGTGTGTGTGGATTGTTTAATGGTGTAGTGAGCGCACCTGTATGTGGATTGGCATGAAATATTGAAAAGTGATGAATGTGTTAATTGATGCATGATTTGAATTTGGTAGTGAATATGTATGGTATGCGATAGTAAGTCTCTGTGCTTGTGTGTAATAGTGTAGATTACTTATCCTTACATTTATTTTTTAGGTGACCAAGACAATCAGTATCGGGCTCAATAAAGGATGGATGAGACTGCTATAGGACTAAAAATTTATTTTTAAGAACTCTAATGTAATTAAATTAGTCATGTAGCAATGATATAATACAAATTGTAAACTATCTTTATTTTGAAATATTCTAATGAACTATGTCTTAGGAAACTACTTGAATGAAAATTTTTAATTCTCCCATTTTGCGAAGTTTAATTATTTAAATATTAAATTAAGGTGTTATAGACAAGATCCCTGTTGGTTATAGAGCCATCACATTAATTTTCAAATTATCAAGAGGAGATGGAATTCAGTTAATGGGTGCAAACTCTTACAAGCTTTTTAGCATGATGGAACCTAAATTGTCAAGCAAATAGACCAAATAAGAAACACAAGATAAAATATGACAATATTTTTTTTACTAAAATTTAAAGAGTTTTTATCTTATTAGAGGTTTCAGGTAATTTCAAAAATTAAGTTTCAATTATTGTGATTATTAGTAAATTTTTGCCCCAAATTAGACTTAAGCCAATTACAAAGATCAAAATTGAAAAATTTATGCCAATTAACTTGAGACATGAAACCATTCCAAACATTAGTAGTTGCTTAACACATGCATCATGTCTTCAAGATCAGCTAAACATATAGACACAAATCAAATGTAAAAATGCACATTTTTAAGACAAGCTAAACATATAGGACAAAAATCAAATGCATAGATGTCTTCATAAACTATCTGTACATTAATTAACAATTTATCATAAAATAGTTTAACTTTTTAAGGACTATGCCATTATCGAACTAATTTAAAACAATTTGATACCTGTCTAGTAATAAATCATTATCAAAAACACATGAATTAAAGATGAATTTTTGAATGGTTATTGACGAATTTCATTATTACATACGAGTTAGATTCGTTTATAATTTCCTCGTTAATAAATCAATACAAATGAATTTTTAAATATATTTGTAAATTACAAACAAAAAAATTAGTCTATAACATTTAATTTGATTTTTTTCTTTTGTTTACTTGTATAATTATTTCTCATTATTCCTAATTATCACAATAATTTTTAAATATAAATAAGATTATAAAATCAAAATTTAGAATTTAAAAAATAATTTCAAAAATGTTACATTAAATTGCCATTACATTTAAATAAGTAAACATTCAAAGTAATAATGTTAAAAATAGTAAGTGTCATTACAATTCATAAAGAAAGCATGTATTAAGCATATTTAATAGAAAATTCACCACCTTTAGCTAAAGATCAAACATGAATGTCACCCGCATCCCCACATTTAGGAAGGGATAATAGTAGAAATACAATTACAAACAAAGAAAGGAAAAGAAAAGGACCTAATTTTGTCTTAATCTCACCTCTCTAGTGAAGCAAACAGACTAATAAAGAAGTCAATATCTAAATTTTTAACAAGGAAAATAGCAGAAGAACTATAATTATCAAATATCAAAACCTTCCAAGTATTAGAAACTTTATGATATGAACCCAAAACTAAAGGATACCCAATCTTAAACTTATATTT